GCACGGTTCCTCACTTTCCCTTTCACTATTACCCCCTGGGGCAGGGTTCCTCACTTTCCCTTTCACTATTACCCCCTGGGGCACGGTCCCTCACTTTCCCTTTCACTATCACCTCCTGGAGCACGGTTCCTCACTTTCCCTTTCACTATTACCCCCTGGGCCATGGTTCCTCACTTTCCCTTTCACTATCACCCCTGGGCCATGGTTTCTCACTTTCCCTTTCACTATTACTGCCTGTCTCCTTCTCTCCAATGAGTGTGCACCCCTAAGCCAAAAAACCTCTACCAAAAAAAGCTTTTCTTAAAAAATTATCTTTTTTTAATTTTAATTTGACCAGAGAGGGATAGGGTGAGAGAAGCGAAAGGGGAAGGGAAAGTGAGAAAGCAAGCCGCCAGGTCCAGGATTTGAACTGTGGTTGGCCACATGGGAGTCCAGCGCCCTTAGCCACCATACCACCTGCCAGCCCCACACAGAAAAACCTTATACAAGAAAGTGAAGAAGGCACATACTCCTCAGAGCATGCCAAGGACTGAGTCGTAAACTCAAGGAGGCTCCACTGGCCAGAAGGGAATATTAGCTGGTATCTATAAAAATAATAACTACAATTGGACTGTCTCTATAGCACAGTGATTAAGAACTGTGTATAGAAGGACCAGCAGTCGGCGTAATGGCTTGTTGCTGGACTTCCATGTAGTCGATTGCGGTTCAAGTCCTGGACTCAGTGGCTTAAACTCACACTGGCCACGTGTGCGCCCAAGATCTTTTTTTTTTTTTGGAGAGGTTTTCGCTATAGGGCGCGTGCGCTCACCAGACAGACAGAGAGACCTAGAGACAGAAAGGGAGAAATCACCCCCAGGGGGGATGGTCACGCTGCAATCCCTTCTCCTCCATTCTCCTCCTGGGATCTTGCACACGCACGCACACGCGCCCGGCGCGTGTGGGTCAAGGACGCGAACTGCGGTGTACTATGTGGGAGTCCAGCGACATAGCCATTACGCTAACTGCTGGTTCCCTGTGCCCAAGATCCCAAGAGGAGAATGGAGGAGAAGGGACTGCAGCATGGCCATCCCCCCGGGGGGCTGATTTCTCGCTTTCTGTCTCTGTCTTTCCGGCGAGCACACGCACCCTGTAACAAACACCTCTTAAACCAAACCAAACCAAAGCAAACCAAAACAAAACACTGAGTATAGAGGGACCAGCAGAGAGTAATGGTTTTATCACTGGACTCCTATGTAGTGGACTACACTTTTGAGTCTCAGACTTCACAGCTTAAAACTCATGCTGGGTACATGTGCATGTGTGCCCAAAATCCCAAAAAGAGAATGGAGAAGAGACTGCGGCATGGCCATCTCCCCGGAGAGTGATTTCTCACTTTCCGTCTCTCGGTCTCTACAGCAAGCACACAAGCCCTATAACAAAATTCTCTCTTAAAAAAAAGAGAAAAAAGAACTGTGTATAGAAAGTTGGATCACACACACCAGAAAGTTGTTCAAATTTTGGCCCTTGTGTTTTGAAAAACACGCCAGGTATGTGCTCTAAATCCTGACAGGATGGAGAAATGGAAGAAAAGAATTGAGGCATGACCACACCTGACTGGTGGATCGTCTCTCTGTCTCCCCATCTCCCTCTGACACCTCCTGGCATAAAACAGTCATAATAATTGCAATGGATCAAAACACAGAATATATGTTTAAATTAGAGAATTTATCATGATATATTAAAAATGAAGTCGCTGATGGGAACCAGCAGTTAGCGTAATGGCTATGCCGCCGGACTCCCACGTAGTCGACCGCAGTTCGCGTCCCGGACCCGGTGGCTTAAAACTCACGCCGGGAGCATGTGCGTGTGTGCCCAAGATCCCAAGAGGAGAATGGAGGAGAAGGGATTGCAGCGTGACCATCACCCTTGGGGGGTGATTTCTTGCTTTCTGTCTCTATGTCTCTCTCTCTGTCTTTCTGGCGAGCGCACACACCCTATAGCAAAAACCTCTCAAAAAAAAAAAAAAATTGAAGTTGCTGGTTGCAGGCACCATACTGCAGTGACTAAGCCTGTGCACAAGGAGCCAGATCCCACAGGCTGATGATGGCTCAGAAAATATGTCAGGTGTGTGTGTACACGCCCCCAACCCCGACGAGATGGGCAAAGGGAGGCAAAGGACCACAGCGTGTCCACACCCTGCTGGGGAGTGCTTTCTCTCTCTGGCAAGCACATGCACTCTACAGCAATGAAAAGACAGACAGACAGACAGACAGACATAGACAGAAGAAGAAGTGTATATGTATATGTATATGTATATGTATATGTATATGTATATGTATATGTATATGTATGTGGCTGTCCCTATAGCCTAGTCATTAAAGAAGCCTGATACCATATAGCTGACCATGGTTCAAAAATTGGAGCAGGGAATCCAAAAAGCACACTGGGCCCATATGTGCAACCCAAATCTGCTCCAAACCCTGATGGGATAGAGAAATGGAAGAGGAGCAACTGCTGCATGACTATGCCCCATTAGAGGTCTCTCCTTCCCTGCCCCTCTGGTGAGTACACGTATCCTCTGGTAATAAAAAAAAAGGGGAGAGGAGATGAACAAGACATCAGTCACTTTTGGAACATCCATAAAACCATCCTGCTATTCTGAGAACCAATACACAGAAAGAAGTAGGGTCTGTCCTTTATTTTTTCTTTTTTGGGGGGAGGGTATTTTTTGTTATAGGGCACGTGCACTCGCCAGAAAGACAGAGAGAGACAAAAAGTGAGAAATCACCCCCCCAGGGGGGATGGCCACACTGCAGTCCCTTCTCTTCCACTCTCTTCTCGGGATCTTGGGCACACATGCACATGCGCCCGGCTTGAGTTTAAGCTACTCGGTCCGGGACTTGAACCATGGTCAACTACATGAGAGTCTAGCAACATAGCCATTATGCCAACTGATGGTCCCTTAGGGTACCAAATAGTCAATAAGAGAGCTTTCTCGCTTCAGAAGTATTTCAGTCAATCATGGCAGAGGAGATGAGAGAATCTGAGTATCAACACTTTGCGACTTCTAATGACTGTGACTCCATTTGCTGAGCACGGCTGGCCTCTGGGGCCACTAGCAGACATGTGCCTCCTAGTGAGGGCAGGAACCACCACTAAGCCAGACGGTGCTTAGGCTTCCAAATCCACCTGCCATTCGTAGGAAATACAGAGACAGAAAAAAGTGTTCAATGAAAATGGCAGAAGTCAGAATGGGGAAATCTCTAACTACAGAACAATGGGCCTGGATTTTCCACCAGACATGGAAAAAAGGGGTAGTGAGGAAGACTCTGTTGATCAGAAGGCACCAAGACATAGCAACTACCTGCAACGGTTTAGACTCTCCTTCAAATAAACTGAAACCTGAGACTGCTGGGGAGAACTGCACGTACTATGGTGATACTGTGATTATAATACAATTTTAATAGCAGGTTTCTTGATACTTTTCAATTTATCGAAAATAGCTATAAATTAAATCTCACTTTGAATGCAAACATTTCAAATCTTTTTTGCGTTTTTCTTAATGTTCTAACACATTTTAACTTCAAGTATAAAATGTCACTTATTCACAAATTTAGAGATTCAAGCATAGGGTACTTTGTTTCCTTCTAAGCTGCTAAAGAAAGATGGCGAAAGGGCAAACAGTTCCTATATCAAAAGATGCAATACTCTGCCAGGCAAGCCTGCACCCCAGCTGCCAGTTCCTTCTGTCCTGAGACTGAGAGCGTTCAGAGGGTGAGTCTCTGAGACACAGGTGCAGGCCTTTACTCCTGGATCTCCAATACATTCAATCATCCCTGGGCCATCAAGCACAATGTGTTGTTACTCTCAAGAGTCTAATGCTAGCTTGGGACCAGCAGTTGGCGTAATGGCTATGTCCCTGGACTCCCATGTAGTTGACTGCAGTGGACCCGGTGGCTTAAACTCATGCCGGACGCATGTACGTGCGTGCCCAAGATCCCAAGAGGAGAATGGAGAAGGGATTGCAGCATCGCCATCCCCCTGGGAGGTGATTTCTCACGTTCTGTCTTTTGGATGAGCGCATGTGCCCTATAGCAAAAACCTCTCAAAAAAAAAAAAAAAAAAAGTCTAATGCTAGCTTTTAAACCAGTGAAAACCAGGGCAGGGCGAGACACAGACCAGACCAGTGCGTCCGTACAGGTGTTCAAGTGTATCTGCTGAAGAGTGGGTTGCTGAAGCCCGAGGTAGTAAATTTAGGGTATTCTGGAATTTCATTATTTTATTTTCATGCAGAGTATAAAAGTAATTGCTAAGAAAAGAAATCTAGGCACAGTCCACAGCCTCGTGGTTAAGGGAGCTGGACTTCACTTAGCTGGCTGAAGTTCAAATCCTAGTCCTAGCGGCTTATGTGCCCTATAGCAAAAACCTCTCAAAAAAAAAAAAAAAAAAAAGTCTAATGCTAGCTTTTAAACCAGTGAAAACCAGGGCAGGGCGAGACACAGACCAGACCAGTGCGTCCGTACAGGTGTTCAAGTGTATCTGCTGAAGAGTGGGTTGCTGAAGCCCGAGGTAGTAAATTTAGGGTATTCTGGAATTTCATTATTTTATTTTCATGCAGAGTATAAAAGTAATTGCTAAGAAAAGAAATCTAGGCACAGTCCACAGCCTCGTGGTTAAGGGAGCTGGACTTCACTTAGCTGGCTGAAGTTCAAATCCTAGTCCTAGCGGCTTGAAGAACATACTAGAAACACGTGTCTGTGCACCTAAAATGTTGACAGGATGGAGAAATGGAAGAGAGGGGATCACATGACCACAGCCTTTCGTGGGGTGCTTTCTCCCTCCCCTTTGTCTCTCTTTGGTGAGTGCACACAACCTCTGGCAATAAAAAGTATGAGACCTCCACAGACATGAATTTTCCAGTGGCCTACCTGTGTGTCATATGCTGTACAGAGAGCTACGGGAGCCTGAGCAGGGAAGAAGAGACTTCAAGATACAGTGAGACGAGGCAGTGCCAAGCTTACCCTTCCTTCATCAGGTACCGCCGCGGAGCCGACCCCTCACCTAGGAAGGAAGAGTGACACCTGGTCAACGCTCAGCTGGAAAAATGTTAAAGCTTTTGAAAAATACATACCCTAAATGCAAATTTCTACAAATTGTCGAGTAAGTTGTTTCAGATAAAACATTATTGGCCACTCCATATGCACATGTCCTTCGGCTTTTCTACATTTTTTGAACAGGGCACACATTACAAAGTCTGATTATTTTCATTTTAAAATCACTTTCATCACAAGGTAACAAATACACTCAGAAAAGTACAGAAACACCTAGGTGCAGTTTCCTAAGATATTACACAAATGCTAGTGCAACCTCCACCCGAACCACAGAAGGGGGCACTGTCGGGACCCAGAGAGGTGGGGTGCTTCCTTCAGATCCCACGTCCCTTCCTCCCCCAGTGAGTAACCACCACCTCAACTTGTTCAGCCACAATTTCCTGGCTTTTCTTTACAGATGTACCACCCAGGTTGTCTAGCCCTAACACACATGATTTATTTTTGCCTGCATCTGAATTTTATATAAATAGAATCATTTGTATGTATCCTTTTTAAAATTATTTTGTTGCTCAAAGTGGCTGTTGCTGTATCTGTAGTTTATTTTTATTGCTGTGTAATATTCCACTGTGTAAATACAAACTGATTTACCCATTCCCCTGTTCCCCTGGGTAGTTTCTGCTTTGGAACAAATAAGAACACTTCTAAGATCTTTCTGGTACAGCTACCTCAAGCACAGAGGCGCCTGCGTCTCTGGTGTACATACCGAGGCTGCGTGACTGCTAGACTAGGTAAGCTTATCGGCAACTTTGCTACATAAAGTCATACTATTTCCCAAAGCAGCTGTAACAATGTACATTTCTGCCAGAAGACTATGAGTTTCTGTTGCTCATCTTTTTCAACAAGTCTTGTCAGACTTTTTTATTCCTGCTAACTGAAGAGCAGTGTAGTGGCACCCCAAGACTTTTTTTTTTTTAATGGATTGATTGATGGATGGATTTTATATATATATATATATTTGTGGAGAGGTTTTCACTATAGGGCGCGTGCGCTCGTCAGACAGAGAGAGACATAGAGACAGAAAGCGAGAAATCACCCCCCAGGGGGGATGGTCACACCGCAATCCGTTCTCCTCCATTCTCCTCTCGGGATCTTGGGCATGCACACCCACGTGCCCGGCGTGAGTTTTAAGCCACCGGGTCTGGGACACAAACCGTGGTCCACTACGTGGGAGTCCAGCGACATAGCCATTACGCTAACTGCTGGTTCCCTGGATGGATTATAATTTAACCAGAGGGACAAAATGAGAGAGAGAGAGAAAGTAAAGCACCACATCCAGGACTTGAACCATGGTTGGCCATGTGGGAGTCCAGCGCCCTTAACCACCACACCACCTGCCAGCCCCAAGACTTCTTCATTACATGGAATCTTAAAATCATTTTGAACAGAGAATTCGTGAAATTGTACATGACAATTGCTATGGTAGAAACTTAATTTTGCCATCAAGCTTTCATATGCTTTTCCATGACTCCTGACCCCACTCTTAGTCCGACCTGCTTCCAGACATACTCACCTCAACCTCTGGGCACAGGGCAAGGGTGGGTGGCACTCGGGCCTGGCCATCAGAACATCTTACTCACCTGGCAGAGCTGGTCTCTCTGAACACAAAACCCAGGTCAGAACTAACTGTTTTCTTCTTTCTAATGTCAGACTTAAAGAGATAAGACCCTCACTTTTTCTCAGAAAGCTTGAGCACACAGGTGTGATCTGGCAGCAGAGTGAAAAGCCTGTTCAAACATGAGGAGACTGCCGGGGAAGAGACCCGGCTGCCTGAAGCACCTACAGCCGGCCCTGCCCCAGGGTTTGCAACTGGGGAGCAACAGATCCCTCCTTTACTGAGAAAGAGTAAAAACTGAGCTTTCTAACATTTCTATTAGAAAGGGCTCTCATTGATACAAACACAGATTCAAAATCTGAGGTTTTAACTGTGTACTCAAGGCACTATATCGGCCACGACACTGAGACAATATCCAGTCATACACACCTGGGGTGTGTGTGTGGGCATGCACATTCCCCATATTCTTTCTACACTTTTATAAACCCTGATTTTTTGGGGGGAGGTCAAAGGCCATGTGCACGCACCAGAGAGGGGGGAGAAAACATGTCAAAGCCCTATCTCCTTTACCTCTCCGTCCTGTCAGGGTTTGGGGCATGCACACACTCAGTGCAGATTTCAGGATTCCAGGACCGGGATTTGAACCGCCACTGGCCATGTGGGATACTGTTCCCTTAACCACTCAGGCACAGGTTAAGTCCTAAATCTAAACTTTTAAAATGGTTTTAGGACTAGCTAGGATTTTCTGTTTTTCTTCTTCAGTTACTTTTAGTAAGCTACATTTTCCGAGAAATTGGTCTACTTTGGCTAAATCTTTTTTTTTTTTTTTTTTTTGAGAGGTTTTTGCTATAGGGCGTGTGCACTCGCCCGACAGACAGAGACAGAGAGACAGAAAGCAGGAAATCACCCCCTGGGGGGGTGGCCACGCCGCAATCCCTTCTCCTCCATTCTCCTCTCGGGATCTTGGGCACGCACGCACACGCGCCCAGCATGAGTTTAAGCCACCGGGTCCGGGACTCGAACCGCGGTCGACTACATAGGAGTCCAGCGACATAGCCATTACGCTAACTGCTGGTCCCTACTTTGGCTAAATCTTCAAATGGAGTGCCACAGTGCTCTTTCTAACATGCTTTCCTGTTTTCACAGGTTCCTGAACCCACAGCGGTCCCCCGTTTCCCCTTTTCCTTTCACTGATTGTGCCTCCTTATCTTCTTATCATTTTGACCAGATTAACTGTCAATTCTATTCGACTTGTCAAAGAACCACTTTCTGGCTTTGTTGGTTCTTTTCTTTTACTGGATTTTTAATTTTTAAAAACTTGCCATAGAGGGGCCAGCAGGGGCGTGGCGGTTAAGGGCCCTGGGCTCCCACATGGCTGATCTTTTGAACTTAACACCCTTCATGATACAGAAGCCCTCCAAAATAAACCTACGCTGTAAACCAAGCGCGCTGCCCACCTCCACGCTAAGCGGCAGACTTTCCTGATGGTACCCCACACCTTATTATTTCAACTTAGACATAAGAAGTGTGGGAGCGTTCTAGGTCACCCTGAAATTTCCATCTAATCGGCCTTTCAACTAACTTCTATCCTGTAACATTGGCTTATGCTTAATAAGTTATGATTCACTGCAGTTTCCTCAGTGAATTTAAATACAGCTTTGTTATGCAACATCGACTCTTTTGTTTTCTCAAACCTTGATCAGTATTTTGAATATAACATATTCTATTGTCAACACTCTTTATACAAATAAATAGCTATGTTAATAAAATTTTCTGTTAGGAAAATGTAAAAGCAAATCTTTAAGTGTAGACTGGAGTGGTCTGTTAGGCAACTCCAGGAGAGCCTGGTGAACCTGGAGTGCCCAGAAGACGGCAGGGGATGAGCGGCCCGCACACACCACGCCCAGCTCCACCTGCCTGTGCGCCTGGGCCAGCGGCACAGCTGACGCCAGCACCTGGCAACCTGCAGACAATCAAGAGCCTCTGGGACCAAAACAACTACTAAACATTTTCAAAAGATGGCTCTCTTTTTCTGGTTTGACCTTTGTTTCAAGAAAAGTGAAACTTAAGAGGACTGCCTATAAATTATCAAAAGCATTGGGGGTCAGCTGGTGGTGTGGTGGTCAAAGCGGCTGGATCCCAATGGCTGACTGCATGGTTCAAGTCCCACACCCGGCAGCTTGAAAAACACAGGAGGCACGTGTGCACGTGTGTCCAAAAAAATCCCGAGAGGAGAATGAAGGAGAAGGGACTGTGGCATAACGATTCCCCCAGGGGATGATTTCTCACTTTCTCACTCTCTCTCTCTGGCAAGTGCACACAGTCTTCAACAAAACAAAACCTACGGGGCAAGTGTTACGAGGTTTTCAAACCTGCTTTATCTCCTCAATGACCTCTATCTAGTTGGTCCTCTGAATCCACAGGTTCCGCAACTAAACACAAAATATTCAGGGGGAGAAAAATAACAATAAAGGACCATCTGGTGGTGCAGTAAAGGCAGCTGGATCCCACAGAGCTGACTGTACAGTTCGAGTCCCAGACCTGGAGGCTGGAGAAGTACGCCAGGTACATGTGCACACGTGCCCAAAATTCTGAGGGGAAAACAGAAGATTGTCGTGTGGCTATCCCCCTCCGAGAGGTGCTTTTTCACTTCTCCTGCCCCTCAAGCAAGTGCATACTCTATGGCAAATTTTTTAAAAATATAATAATAAAAAAATAATAAAAAGCCAATACAGAGTAATAGCTATTTATATCACGTTTAAAGTGTATTAAGTATTAAAAGTAATCTAGAGGGCCAGTGGTGGTATAGTAAAAAGACACTGGATCCCACGTGGCAGACTGCACAGTTCAAGTCCTAGACCTCCCAGCGTGAAAGACACACGGGGTGCATGTGCACGTGTGCCCCAAATCCTGAGAGGAGAGTGGAGGAGAAGGGACAGTGATCTCTCACTTTCCCTCTCTCTCTCTCCCCGGCAAGGACACACCCCTAGAACAAAATTTTAAAAAGTGATTTAGAGACGATTTAAAGCGCACAGGAAGGTATGCGTAGGTCACAGAGGCTCCATGCAAACACGGTATGTGCCATTTATATCAAGAGCTGAGCATTCGGGGACCAGCAGTTAGTGCAATGGCTATGTTGCTGGACACCCAAGTAGTCGACTGCGGTTCGAGTCCCGGACTTGGTGGCTTAAACTCACACCGGATGCGTGTGCGTGCGTGCCCAAGATCCCGAGAGGAGAATGGAGGAGAAGGGATTGCAGCGTGGCCATCCCCCTTGGGGGGTGATTTCTCGCTTTCTGTCTGTCTGGCGAGCGCACGTGCCCTACAGCATAAACCTCTCCAAAACAACAACAACAACAAAAAAGAGTTGAGCATTCGTAGATTCTGGTACGGGTGGG